AGAGAGAGAGAGAGAGAGAGAGAGAGAGAGAGAGAGAGAGAGAGAGAGAGAGAGAGGCGCAATTGACTAAAAATTGGGGCAGACTGAGAATGAAAGGAAAAAGATGGAGGGAATGGCTATAAGTACGGAAGTGGGACAAGGACACAAATGTCACAAGGACCAAAGCGCCAGGACAAGGACAGAAATGTCACAAGGACAGAAATGTCACAAGGACCGAACTGAGACACGAGGACAGAAATGGAACTGGGACGGAGAGACCAAACCGGGGCAACAACATGAGTGCCTAAATACTTACACGGTATCTGAGCATCTCATCGCTGCTGTGTTTCTTTTCCAGCCTGTGCTTTTTGAACTCACTTCGCAGATGTTCCACATGGGCCCGCTCCTCCTCTGTCCCTCCACGGAACTCATACTCCCACACTTCTCTCCCCTCATGATTCTTGACGGTCCTCAAGTAGGGATCCGTCCTTCCGGTCCCAACCTTAAGGCGCCACATCCTTCACTTCTTCCAGACCACCTTTTTGTCACAATATAACAGAAAGTAATGTATCAATAGAGAACAAATCAAAAGCAAAGATTCAAGAACGAGTGAGAGAGTCATGTTTTCCTTGCTTCAAAAAAAAAAAAAAAAAAAGACCACATGCCAGCTTTGGACCGCCAAAAACTTTCACTCTGGTCTTCACCAACCTGAGGACATAGATAAAACTAATAAGACAAAAAAAAAAAAAGGTGGATTTATTTATATCTAGGCTACCAGCCGGGCCGCCCGGGTCATCCTATTTTCCCGGGCGGCCCGGCCGTGCAAGGACCAGAGAAGGTCCTGGTAAGAAAAAACAAAAAAAGAAAAAAAAACCGGAAAAAAACTGTGTTACACAGAAAAATAAACTGAACAACTTTTGCCTCAGGGTCACATCGAAGTTCTTTACTAAATTTAAAATAAAAATTAATAAAAAAAACTTGGCTCGGCTGGGCAAGTGGTCCCTCTGGTACCCTAGATTGATATGACAAAACTTAGAGGCGAAATAGAAGAAACCAAAAAAAAAAGAAAAAGAAGTGCATTTGTTTATATGGCAAGTGCAGGACAACCGAATCAACAGAGAACTGAGAGAATGTGTGTATATAGCCTTCTTAGAAACATTTATTTCAACAAGGGTGATTTTGCGAACTGTACCACAAATTCAGCCAATGTTCAGTGTCAAAAAGGTGGTCCCAGTGAAGGGGGGGTGAGGGAACGCACAAGAAAGAAAGAGTTTGAAGCATACTTGTCGCGCATCACGTGTGCGCGAGTTGCGCATGTCCAGCGCATAACGCACGCGCAAGCGCAAGTGCAAGCACGTGATGCCGTCCACCCCAATAATTAGGGTTGATTAAAAAATTCGGAAAGGGCAGGCTGTGGTAGCCAAATGTGCCCCTCCCTTCCAAAAATTGTACGTGCCCAGAAAAAAAAAAAAAAATTGGGGGCACATCATACTCTTGTTTGGATCCAGTCTCTTTTCTGGTTCGACAAGAGCAGGCCAGCAATATATGCTCTGGATTCAAATTCAGGTCTGTGGTCCACAAGTTATGGGTTACTGCTACTTACTGCAGTAGCACTCTCTTCTTTTTGTTTTCCTTTTCTTACGTGTAGTGGCCCTAAGGGCCTCACTCCACTAGTCACCGATTGCACAAAAGACAAAACATACGGCTGCGTATGGTTCCATGTTCTAGCAGAAGATTCGTTCTAGTATTGCACATTTGGTGAGTAGTGGGGGGAAGCCCTGAAATCATGTGCTGAGTTAGTAAGTTAGTAACCCATAAGTCCAACGCCTACCTCTTTCTTGGTGAGTTGTGGGGGGAAGGCTACTAAATATCTGCAGGGGCCTTTCGAATTACCCACTCTCTCTCTCTCTCTCTCTCTCTCTCTCTCTCTCTCTCTCTCTCTCTCTCTCTCTATCTCTATCTCCAGGTGAGGATCTTCGAGCAAAATGAGAATGAACCTGAAACATTCTCATTTTGCGCAGAGAGAGAGAGAGGGCCGATTCTCTCTCCCTCTCTCTCTCTCTCTCTCTCTCTCTCTCTCTCTCTCTCTCTCTCTCTCTCTCTCTCTCTCTTACCCCCCCCTCCCCGCCCTGCCGCGCTCGTTTGTTTTCTTTTATTTTTTTGTAGTTCTTTTTGCAAAATCGTTTTTTTTTTTTACGTGGGAGCGGACCGTGAGAGCGGAGTGGGTAATCGTGGATCGGCTCGCCTCGTGACCAGCGGGTCGCGCGTGAGATGGTGGCGTGGAGAGGAGCCGTTCGGGTCCAGGGTGCCCGACGGGAGGAGGCGGGAGAGTACGGGGGGGGGGGTTAGAAAACCCCTAAACCCTAGAAAACCCTAAGAAAACCCTACCCGGAGTTTAGGTGGTTAGGGGAGGGTAGCGACGACCTAATCAAGAAAAGAAAATAATAACTATGAAGGGGAGGGGCAGAGAAAATAAAATAAAAAATAAAATAAATAAATAAAAATAAATAAATAAATAAAATGTAAGGAGTGAGGAGAGAGAATATTTATTTTTTTGAAATTTTCGGCAGCATTTTCCCATCCCACATGGGGTCAAAAATATGCCAAGAGGAAGGGAAGAGCAAGAGGAGCACACTTACTTTCAAAATGCCGCAAATTAAACTTTTCAAAAAAAATAAATAAACAAGGGGGTGGAGGAGAGTGAAGAGAAACTAAGTTTTGGAGTTTTTCAAAAATTTCGGCAGCATTTCGTTACCCCCATGGGGTCGAAGTGTGTCGTCAAGAAAAAGACCAAGTAAAATGGGAAAATTTGGCCAACGCTTCGCTACTCCCAAGGGGTCAACATGTGCAGTAAGAAGAAAGTAGGGAGGAAAGACAAAAATTCGGCAACACTTCGTTACCCCCAATGGGTCAAAATATGCGCCGACGGCAGAAAAGACAGTCCTAGCAAGATGTAGAAGTGCTGCAGAAAAATTCGAATTTTCAAAATAAATAAAATAAAAATAAAAATAAATCAGAAAATGAGAAAAGAAGTAGGAAATAAGATAATTCGAATTTTTTGGGAGAAAAGAGAGAATTTAAATCAAAGAAAAAAAAAAAA